TAGGTGTGGCTTCTCCCTCCCCTGCCTCACCTGCAGCTCCCGCGATGTGCGCTCAGAACTCCAACTCGGCCAGCAGGCCTCACCTGCACCGTTGTGCCTGTGACGGATGGGCTTGGCCCAAGTCCTGTCCTGAGCCCCATGTTCCTCCTCCCGCTTCAAGTCCTCTCTGGGCCCCTGTGGCCCTTGGCTGTGGTTTGTTTAATGGAGTGACTCCTGTCGGGAGCAACCCAGAGCTCAGGACACAGGGAGACACTTGTCCAAACTTGCTATTTTTTTTCACCAAAAAGAGCCAAGCCACAGTGATTGGGCTCAGTGGCCTGGCTGGGAGCCTTCCTCATCCCTCCCACCACTAGCCTGGCCTCCATTCCCCTCACTGGCCCTTGTTACCAGTGGCTTCTGGTTCAGGACTTCTAGTTATCCATTGGGAGTCCTCCTCAGTAGGAGTCTGGCTTCTTATGTGAGGAGAGAAGGGAGATCTGGGTTCTGTGGAAGTAGCTGAGGCTGAGAGAGATGCCCTGGGGACCAAAGAATAGGCCCACAGAGACCAATGACCATACCATATTCGTCCCTCTCTCCCCAGTGCCTGGCACAGAGTAGGTCCTAAAAGAGTGAGTGAGTGAATGTTGGATGGTTCGATGGATAAGTAGATGTGTAGATGGGTGAATGGGTAGAAAGATAAATAAATAAACGAAGATGCTTAGATCCAAGTAGACATTCTGATAAACCTAATCTGATTTCTTGGTCCAAACGTGAGACACAAGGAAGGAGAAACCTAGGTCTAGAAGGTGCAGCCAACTTATTCCTGAATCTAAAGGAAATCTCTTTTCCCAGACTCTTTACAGTGTGTCCTTGAGACTCCCCTGGAGGTCTGGGGTTGGGTGAAACTGGCCTTTTCTCCATCCTCATGTTTTGCTTCAGGCCTCTTCTTGCAGAGGTTTCTCTGCCCACTAGAAAAGGTGCTCTGCAGCTGGGCAAAGCAGCACTGAGTTAGGGAGGAGATAGATGGGCAGAGATGAGGCTCGGGCTGATGGGGGTGCCATGGAACAGGACCCTGGGCACAAAATGTTTTAGGCTGGGGCTAGAGCAGACTGTTATGTGCTTGGACCAGGAGGCGGAGAACATTTCCAGCACCTAACACAGGGGCCTGACATAGTAAGCACTTGTATTTTTTAGAATGAATGAATAAAACATTCCTATGTCTTTTTCTCTCTAGATAACACCCTCAAATCCTTTTCCAAAAGGTATAGAGAATTCTCAAGAGCGCTAGGCCACTAAGGACCTTCCTTTGAGGGTAGAACGAATCAGGGTCAGTAGCCCTGCTGAGGGAAAAAGGGACAGTGGCATCTCTGCCCCCGTCCAAACTCTTCTTACCCCCAGCCCTGCTGCCCATGGTCCGCCCTCCTTCGTCCTCTCCTCCAGCCCCATCACTAGCTATCACGGTGCTGATCCAGAAGCTGGGGGTGCCAGGAGGGAGCAACACAAAGCTGCCGTGTGTACATGAGTGCATGTGTGCTTGCATGAGTGGCCGTGATGAGGGGGCTTGACTGAGGAGACGGGCGGCTCCATACCACCAAGGCCAGCGCCGTGGGGCTTGGAGACCCCATTCAGGGGTCCTGTCCCCAGGCCAGATCCAGTAGATCTTCTCTGGTGCTGAGATCTTCATGGAAGGAAGTTCTCAGAGCTCCTCAGGGGCTCTTGTTGCTGGGATGTGCTCCTGGAGTTTAATCACTCTTCCCTGCTGTAATTTGTTTTGGGAGAGTCCAAGTAGAGCCTTCCCTTAAAGTAGATGCATGGTCAAAGCCGCCCTCTGAATCAGATCTAGAAAGCCTGGGTTTTAAGGCCGGAGGGGGCTTGCCTCTGGTCTGTGCTGAGCACATTTTCTGAGCAGACACAGAACTGTTGGCTCAGGGCAGGCAAGAAAAGGCCTCGTGCGCCAAGGGGAAACAATTAGGAGTAATTACCATCAAGAGAGGCCCCCAGTGAGGGGTGATGGTGGGAAAGGCCGTCTGTTTAAGAGGAAGCTGAAAGTGGCAGACTGATTTTGGGGAAAAAATCAGACAGAGGGTGGGAGGAAGGGTTGAGTGTGTGCTGTCTTTCTTTTCCAGGAAGACAGCAGGACTCCTCCCCCTCGGCCTCTACAGGGGCTCTCTGTCCGGAGGTGGGAGGGGAGAGCAGGAGGGCACTGGGCTCCACATTCCTGAGATTCTCAAACCAGTCGGAACGGAATGGCAGAGGAAACTTCATACTGAGGGGACAGAGCCCTAGACACAGACAAAAGTGAAAAGATAAAATGGAGCACTGTGGAGCACCCAAAATGTCTCCAAGTGTCCCCCCACGCAACGCCCTTGCTCCCTGAGAATCGGTGGGGATGCGCTGGATCTGCTTGGTGTCTCCCTACTCACCACCCTCCAATCCTCAGCCCTGCCCCTTTAGGGATTAGAACCAGAGGCCTCAAAGGACAAGTGTTGCTAGTATGGGCAACCTGGAGCTGGGGACAAGAGTGGGGGGCAAAAGGAAGGGCAGTTGGAGAAAGAGCTGTCGAAGGAGGAGTGAGGGAATTCCTTGGTACCCCTCGCTAGAGAAGTCAAGAGGAAATGAACCCCAAAGGAGAGGTCCCCTGACATTCCACTTGACCTTCCAAATTAAGGTGAAGAGACAAGGGCCTCAATCCTGCTCATGAGGGAACAGAGGGAGGCTTGGCCTTTGCGGATCTCATCGGAGGCTCTCACTGGCTTCATGCTGGTGGAGCCCCATGACCCCTGTGGAGTGAGACGGAGCAGGGCTGGCTGTGTGAGGCCACAGGCTTCAGGGACACAAGCTCTTGGCTTGGAGTCTCTATCACTGACAGTCTGTGGGAATTTGGGCCACTTATGCAATCCCTATGCTCCTCATTTTCTCATCTATTTCATACACTTGTAAGGATTAAATGAGGTAATGTATATAAAGATTTGGCACATAAGGCTGGGGCCAGGGCCTCAATAAATGCTTAGTCTTACTATTATTATTGGAAGAAGACAGCTCTAAGTGCTAAGTGGATGATGAATTTGAAGCCAGAGGCCCTGGGGGAGGCTGCCCTCTCAACCATATACGAGGAAGTGAGTGAGGACTTGATAGGGTGGAGGCTCTCAATACAGAAGGTAGGCCCTGCTCAGAGACGCTGAATAACTGTAATTCGTTCACTCCTTCAACAATTCTCTCCTTCCGTTGTTCTAGGCACCTGGGATGCAGCAGAAACCGAACATTTTAGCGAGAGACTGACAAAGCAAATGAGTAAATAATATAGTCAGATATGAAATGCTACAGAGAAAACATGAAGGGAGCTAGGGAGTGTGAGAACCGGGGTGTGGGAATGACAGAGGAGGTGAGGTGAGTGAGTGGGGGGGAGAGTGTCTGGGGGAAAGCCCTCCAGCCACAGGAAGCTGCAAGTAGAATGACCCTGAGGCAGAAGCAAGGTGGGTTTGTTAGACAAACACCAAGCAGGCCTGTGCGGCCGAGACCAAGGAGCCGGGGCAGAGTGATGGGGGAAGCTGTTGGAAAGGTGGTGAGCCACGTGCAGGGCCTCGTGGGCCCGTGTAGGCACAGGTAATTGGCCGGTGGTGGGCTGACCGGAAACGGAGCTCAGGTGTACAAGGAAGCAAACTTTCTTTCCTGGGTTTCAGAAGAGCATCTGATACAAACAATATATATGAAATAGATAAACAACAAGGTCCTACTATCTAGCACAGGGAACTATATATTCAGTATCTTGTAACAAACTATAATGGAAAAGAATCTGAAAAAGAATAAAAAGCGCATCTGGAACACGAATTCCTTAAGGAACGTGAATTCCACCCCCCTTCCCTCGGTAACTTTCTGCGGGGCCCAAGACCAACCCAGCCACCTGGGGGTAGAGGCTGTCTCTGACTCACGATTGGGTGCAGGTCCCCACTGCGATGGCGTCTTCTCCCCATCTGTAGACCCAGGCAATTGTCAGCTATCTTTAACCACATTGGGGAATCAGAAAACAAGAGTGGCTTGAAGGTTTCTCTCCTCACTCCAACCATTTTCAAACGGCTGAAAAACCTTAACTGTGTCAGAAAAATGTTAGAACTCAAGAAATGTCCTGGAGGGACTTCCCTGGTGGCGCAGTGGTTAAGAATCCGCCTGCCAATGCAGGGGACACGGGTTCGAGCCCTGGTCCGGGAAGATCCCACATGCCGCGGAGCCACTGAGCCCGTGCGCCACAACTACTGAGCCTGTGCTCTAGAGCCCACGAGCCACAACTACTGAGCCCACGTGCCACAACTACTGAAGCCCACGCGCCTAGAGCCCGTGCTCCACAACAACAGAAGCCACCGCAATGAGAAGCCCGCGCACCGCAACGAAGAGTAGCAGCCAAAAATAAATAAATAAATAAATTTATTGGGAAAAAAAAAAAGAATGTCCTGGAGATGACGAGCAGCTCTTCCACCTCAACACAGATAAAACTGTTTCACCAGGATAGTGGAAGATTTATCAGAAGTTGGTGCTTTCTTGTTTTATTCTTTGGAGTGCATGTTTTACAGGTAGACCAGCGGAAGCACTTCCTGGAGGTTAGGTGGTGAGGAGAAAGGGGTGTGGGAGGGGGCAAGGAGACAAGGGATGCTGTTAGGTATCCAGGGTGGGTTGGAAGTCCCGACTGGTGTGTTTGGCTCAGGAGGGCTCTCTGGCTGGCTCCACAGACAGGTCTGGTTTTAAAAAGTGCCAAGGAGCCACAGATTTGCATGTTATTTGCGTTTCAGACTTCAATTCCAGGTATGTGGAATGAAATGAATGAATGAACAGTATTCAGACTCCTGGTTAAGGCGTGGACTCCGGAATCCAGACCACACTGAGGATCCAATCACTGGTCCAGCTTGGATCAGGAGACACAGACACAGACAGAGACAGAACAAGCAGTCAGAGAGACAGAGAGACAGTCAGAGAGACAAACACCATCGAGTCCTTTTTCACCAGGGAGTTTCCAAGTCAAGGCAAGAAAGCAAAATCCACAGAATTTATTTTAAAATAAATCAACTTTTAAAAACTAGGGAGAGAGTCACACATAGATAGTCAGATAAAGGCAACATCATCCATGACTTATCTCCACCTCTGCCCCTCCATCATCTACACCCAGCTTCAAACTGGACCATATGCCTATGGGTCTGCCTTCTTGATAAGGTCCATTGCTTGGTATCTGCCTGGCCTCCTACATGAGTTAGACTCTAAGGTCTTTGAGGATGGGTGGCTTTTATTTCCACCAAATGGTCAAAACCATTTCCACCAGATGGTCAAACCATCTCTTCACTCCACCCTCCAGGGCCCCCAAGCCCAGTGCTTAAACACAGGCTTATTAAACACCTAGTATAAGAGGCTCCCCAGAAGTATTAGATGGGGAAAATGCCCTCTAGGAACTTAGCTCTGGCTAATAGACAAGACACAGCCAGCATGTAAAACAGTCCATTTAAAGGACAAGGCAGACAGAAGGGGACCCACGATCCATACTGGATGTACAACATCACTGGAAATAAAAAAAAATAAAGAAAACTGTACATAATAGAAAGGTGTGTGGTTAGGGAAAAAATACTTTGATTAGGCCCCTTGCATAGAGACTGAAACCCCTGAAGGACATGCCAAACTGCTGAGGAAGGGGCTTGTGTTAAGGGCAGAGTGAGGCATTAGGTTTAGGGTCACAAAGGAGGTGCAGCCTCACTGCAGGCTGATGTGAGTGGACCTTCTACCCCGGACTCCTGCAATGCTGGTTAAGTAAATGTTTAGTCAGTCACCCCTACTCCTCCCTAGCAGGCCAGAGAGAAGCAGCTTGCACTCCTGGCCTGGAAAAAAAGCACCAAATCATTCACCTGCCTTCACTGGCAACACAGGTCTCAGTCCGTTCTTGATGTAAAGGACAGATTACAATACATATGCCATGTGGAGTTGTATTATTTTCTAAGCGCTGCAGATGTCCAGATAAGAGATTTTAATGTAATCAGGGAAGGCTTCAAGGAGGTGAGATTTGGGTGTGTGTGCGCTGTGTATTCTTGAAAGCAGTAAGAGTAAATTGGATGAGGGGTGCCCAGCAGGTTGAAGACTCTGGGCTCCTTGTGTGCCTCTCCGCGACAACTTTCCTTTCCCAGCACTAAAGTTCTGCGAAGGAAGGAAGGACAATCTCCAGAAGTCAAGCAGTTGATGGTTACTCCTCAGTTCAGAATGGAGAAAAGTCAGCAGCTATGATCTGTTCCATTAGGAAAGACTGACCTGCGCCTTAACTCTAAGATCAAGCCAGTGTTAACACTGGCCTTAAACTTGACTTTGAATCTCTACCTTGCCCAATTTCTATTCCAAGCAGCATTATGACCCTCAATAACATTTCAGAATCTTAGACTTTGACCAGACCCTGGACATCTGGTTCAACCACTCCCAACTGGAATTCTCCCCACCCTCTCCCTGACAGGCCAGAGAGGCAGCCTGCACTAAGGTTTCCTCGAGGTTTATCTTGTAGCTAAAAGTCTCCTAGTTTCCCATTTCTCTCCCACAGGGGATGCATGTCTAAGTACTCTTCTCTTAGTGGTGACCAGCATAACCCCATTTACCCTTACGTTACGTCACCCCCCACCCCCAAAGCTGGGAATAGGAATTATGGGCTCTTAAAAGACAGATACTAAGATTCAGCACAGGTGAAATAAGGCCTGCGCTATTAGGAAAGCTGTTGGGTTGAGCCTTACTTGTCCCTTCCCAAATTTTAGGATGAATTTGAAGCTGTGGACAGATTGCTCCTGGGTAGGGAAATATGGCCACTTTGCCAGGAGCTCAGCATGTAGTCTGAGTCAACAACAGGGCCTGATAGCATTTCACGTCCTTTTCTGACTCTCTTGAGTATGTGAGCTCCCAGGATGAAAGCATCCTATTCCACCCTACCTCAACCCCCCTGGCCCATCCAGGTGGAGCAAAGGAGAAGACAAGTGCCGAGTGTCAGTTGTCTCTCTTACTCTGGGTTAAGACATATTTGAGAGCTGGAGGGATGGCACAGGAGAAGGACCAGAAGCTGAAACGTTAAAAACATTGGGGCTCTGAAGTGAACCCTCTCTCTACCCACTAGAGCCTTTTATGGGCCACGTAGAACCAGGTGGCGATGGACAGACTATGGAATATGGCTGCTGGCAGTGCTTTTCCAGGCAACCTGTTTCTATCCCAGAACACTAAAACTTTGGGGCTAATCTTGCTAGGGGCAGTGGGTAGAAGAGGCTAGCACAATTACAAGGGCAAAATAAGAGAGAAGTTGATACCACAGAGAAATATGTAGCACCTCATATACAGAGGAGTCAGTTTACACAGTCTCCAGGCCAGATGAGGGAAAAGCGCTTACATTCAACCCTAAACAGGGCTGCCGGGAGCAACGGTGGGTCCCAGGTGACAAATGGGATGGAACTAGCCTCTGTGCCTCGCACCATGTATCCTCAAATGGGCAGGAATGGTCTGATTTTCTCTGTACAGGGTCCAGGAGTGATTGTTCAGACTGGTTTCTGCTGAAGGCTTCATATCTGGCATCTAGAGCTTATCACCCATCAAGTGTTCCTTTTTTTAGGGGAGGCAGGTAATTATGAGCACTGGACACAGAGGAGAGGGGAAGATCAGAGAAAAGGAAAGCAATAGGCTTTAGTTTAAAGCAGGTTAAACAAGACATTGGTAACATGCCCTTGGCCATGGAATACAGGAACGTCCTAGTTTTCCCCCCTGTCATCAAGGTCCGCCCTTAAATGAAGAAGAACGTTTCCAGATGCTAGTCCTGCTCTTCTTGGGCAGCTCTCTGGAAAGAACGGCCCCCACTGTGTTAAGTCTACTTGGTTCCCACCCTGGACCACAACCTGTGTCTCAGCCTGGCCCCCTCATGCAGGGCATCTCAGGATCACTAACTTCACCTTGTACAAAACTGCACTGGTCAGAAAGTGGGGCCAAATTCAGACAGGCTTAACAATTCCTTGTATATTTTTCAAAGTGCTTTTGTTGCATGTTTCATTTTCTGCTGCACATGGCAATAAATATTTGTTGCTTTGGTCTGTACAAAGTCTGTGAGGAAGGTAAGACAGATGTTATCTAAATGGACAAACAATAAATACAGAGAAGTATCTTGTTTTGAGTCCCCCAGACAACAGCAAGAGTGCCTGAAAAACTCAGGTCTTTTTGATTCATGGTCCAAAATCTATACCATATTGTCACCTTTCAAGTTGTCACTTAAATACATTAAGTACCAAGAATCAATGTTCAGGAGTCCCACAATGAGCCTGCATGCCATAGCTCTCTAAACGAGAATGTGAAAGTCCCAGGAACTCATATATAGAAAGCTATTTATTTCCTATAGAAAACACCAAAAAAACCCAAAACAAAACAAAACAAAACAGGCAAGAAAGAAAGAAGAAAAAAAAAGAAAACAAACAAACAAAAGGTGGTCTTCCCCCTAAAGGCAGGCAGTATGAAAAACGTAGGACATCTAGTTGCTGGAGTGGAAAACAGTAACATTCAGTTAACAATGGAATATTTAAAAAAAATAGTTTTCTTTTCAAATTGTAACCTGTGGTAACACATAGAAAAATGTACTAAACAAGCTTGATATAAAACAGAGTAAAATTTTCAAATAAGCCCAGGGAGAAAGCACAATGTTGGAAAGGATGAGGTACATGGGAAGAGAAGAAAAGATTTCGTACAAAACTACCTATTACAATACAGAAAAAAGTATAAAATGTTCCTATTTTGGAACTTAAGTACAAAATGACACTGGCATTGGATCATTTCACTATCTAGCCTGAGGAGCGCTCAGAGGGTGTGGAGATGCCACATAGAACAAAAGGAATAGCAGTTTTTCATTCTCAGGTTGATCAGTACAAATTCCACCCGTTTTCCAGTTGAAAATCTCGCCTCCCTCTGTAACCTCTACCCCTAAGCCAAATCCATCCAGGAATCAAAATATTCTGTTAGGAAGTCCACAAACACCCTACACATAGGGGCTGGGATCTGTGCGTGCTGGAGCTAAATTTGGAAAATGGTAATAAACCTACAGGCTAAAATGGTGAACACATTCAGCCTTCAAAAAACAAAAACAAAAACATATCCCTGTGAAATATATATATATATTAAATTCTCTGTGGTTAGAAACATATTTAAACTAGCTAGCCACAGACCAAACTAGACCTGCATTCATCCAATGCTGGAATTTTATGCTAAAGACTGAGGTCCTTCTTCTTGGTCAGAAGTAGGTAGCAGTAAAAGTGGTGCCTTGTCGCTCCACTAAACCGCTCCCTGGGTGGGTCTTCCCCATATCATGTGTTGTGAGCACATGCAAGCCTCTGCTTTTAAGGAAAGGACTGCCTGGGACTTTGGGGTCCATCCAGGGCTCACGTGTTGTGCCTCAGGAGAGGAAGAAGCTACAGATGATAAAACAGCCTTGTACAGAAGCAGACGGATTTTACAAAGGGGCATATAAATAGGAAAAGTCCTGGAGGAGGGAATTACGCAGGTGCCCCAAAGTCCAGTTTACAGTCACTTTCCCAGTGACATATCTTGAAAATCCTGTGTTTATGTATGTGTGCGTGTATATGCTGGTGGTTTTCATCCCTACCTTTTTGCCCACGTCCTTTCCTACCTCTTAGTAAGGCCTAACAACAAGAGTTTACATGAAATCAAGAGTCTTTCCAAGCTTCTCTCAGGCCCCTAATTAGAGACTGAGTGAGGCTGGAGCCCTTTGAAAATAAGATGGCAGAACTGAAGAAGTGAAAAGCAGTCTCTCTCTTCAGCTTAGGGATGTCCCTCACCCCTTTCACAGCACCAAAGTTTCTTTGCAAAAATAGTATCTGAGATACAAAAGGAAAGGCAGATGTGCTTGTGAGTGCATCTCTCCAGGGCCTGGTCCAGGATCAAGGACTTTACAAGAACAGAGGGTTAGGAGCAGCTGTTTCCAAGGTCTCTGGCCGTAGACAACAAAGAGCTGGTCTCCCACAAGTCCACGTTTGCTAATTGAGACAGTCTTCACAAGAGCTTTCGATGGAGGATTTCCCAGACCATCCGCTTCCGGAAGTAGGGCATGTGTTGCTGTAGGGACACAGAGACACCCTTATTTTCATTTCTTGTATGCAGACCTAACACTCCTTTCCGTCTTGAGGTTTTCAACTAAAATAATCTCAGCTGAATTTCTGATCTTTCAAATGGCTCCTTCTTTATCACATGTGATTTTTTTCTTTCTATTGCTTTTTTGTATTACTATCTTTATTGCTATTTTCCATTGTCGTAACTTTAGAAGTTTTGTTGGGCATTGCCAGGAGTCCCCAGGGTACACCCAAATGTCTCCAAGAATTTTGAGAACGGTGTCTATCAAGTCCTCTATGTTAAACTTTTAAGAGGATATGAGATCCGAGCTTGAAAACCAAAAACTCACTTTTTACAGGAGATGTTATAGGAACTGCAAGAGTGAGTTCCACCCAAGGGCTATGGTGGAAAAATCTTGTAAAGCCATTGATTTAAACAGAAGTAAAGAGTTAAGTGAAGGACACAGAATAACCCCTAATCTCTAGTCTCAATCCACCTTGGTCTCCGAAGGACCACATGGACAGAAATAAACAATCACAAACTATAAGAAGACTGACCAGCTGCATCAAGTGAGGGGCAGCGGAAGAGGGCAGCATAACAAATTATACTAGACCAAGGTGTGGCCTGTTCCAAAACTTAACTGCTACCCAAATAAAGGGAAACTATAGGAAACTTGCTCTGGTCCCAGTTCTCTGCTTCTCACAGGATTTGAGGTAGGTGGGAGAGATGGGCGGAGAAGAAGGCTCTGCCCATACATCACAATATGTGATATATGGTAACCCAGGATGTGGCCTATCACTACCCTTTTTCTTGTGAGGCGGCACAGGCAGTAACCACCCGTGTTATGAGCCACAAGCTGAAGCAGAGCCCCTAAGTGGAGCAAGTGGAGGGAAAAACATCTATCTGGCAGCCTGGAGACAGGGTGCTCATAGAGCTCCCTCCTGAAGGCTTGGCTCACCTGTGTGAAGTTGATTGGTCTGTCTTTGGTAATGCAGTCAGCATATTTGCAGGCAAACATGCCACAGTCGCTTCCATTCATCTGCTGTGGAATTTCCTGAAAGGCCAAAAACAATTAAAAAAAGTGACATCTTTCCAAGCTTCCTTCTTTCTTAGATTATAAATAAGAGCCAAAGGATATAAATTTTACAGGTTTCCCTGAATTTTGAAGAGATGACCCTGGTCCCCCACTCAGAACAACAGAGGCTCAGAGAAAAAAATTCAGCATCTCAGTCCAGCCTGTGTATTTCATATTAATCACACAGGAGACTATCTTAGATTTCCATGACACCCAAGGGTGTAAAAGCTGGCCCCTCCCACAAGGGCCAAACAATCTGCAAACATTTCCCACAGATGAAAGTTTAGCACAATAGCTGGGCATTTATAAAACCTAGTTCTTCATAAGAAACACAATACTAGTTTCCCACAGATAGCTTACTCTATCTTCCCCAAGGAACCAAACGACCAAGCTGAGGTGAGGCTAGACACTAACACAGAAGGTCTCTGGGGACCAAGCAGTAAAATCCTTTTCTTTCTAATACCCTAGTCTCAGGATTTCCATCTCATCAAGGAGAAATGTACCTGGCTTTTCTTGCTGAAGAGTTGCCAGCCATTGGTGTCAAACTCTTTCCTTTTCTTGTCAATGCTTTCTTGCTTCAGGTATTGCCTAAAGGTATTGGGAGAGAATGAGATGAGCTTGGGGAGCAGTGATGACAGCTGCCACTGCAAGAATGGGGTTGACAATCCTTAGGAAGTTTTCTTCTGCGCGTCTAAGGAAACAGTATATACTACTGGGCAGGGAATCTTTGGACTGCTAAGCTTCCTTTGGAGGTCCCACAATTCAGGCCTGCCCTGTCAACCCAAGAGAAGCATGACATCTGCCTTTGATACCCAGGCTCTTTCTACCTACTGTCCGTCCTGAGGAACAAGTTCTGATTCTTCTCCTTGGTTTATATGGGCCTACAGAACTCAATCTAATGGAAGAAAAATGTTTCTCCAGCAATACTGAGGTACTTATTTATTTATAGTCTTGATTCTCCTGTGTGAAAATTCAATCCAAATCAACAATTTGTTGAGTGCATACCTCATATACAGCACTCTTCTTAAGTGTGAACTGCTCACCATTCTGGAACCCAGCCCCCTCCTGGCTGCCAAAATGGTACAGTGAGGAATAGACATTTTGGAAAGAGAAACAGATGGGATATAAAGAGATTTGCATTCTGGTTCCCAGTTGAGCCACTAACTAGTAGGACCTGAGCAAATGTAAGTCACCTCTGTGGGTCTTGGTTTCTTCATCTGAAAATTTAGGAGGTTGGAGTAGATGATTTCTAAGTAGTTTCTATATCTATATGTATATATCCACTCTATATTTAGAGCACTGGGACAGTAATTATCCCCATTAGGGTGTATTTTTGGTATTATATTATTATTAAACTTTACTTACGTAGATGGAAAATACCCATTCTTACTCAAGATAAAGATTTCCTTTATTAATCACTACATTGAAGGGATCAGAGAACTGAGTTCAATAGCTGGAAAAACATAACATATACCCAACATCAAACTCTTTGTCCTCAACTCCCTACTTACAAGAGGATCCTGCAGGCTTCATTGTTTATCCCACCCATGGAGTCGTAATAGGTAATATTCTTCTTTCTAAAGTCTACAACCTGGGAATTAAAAAAAAAAAAAAATCTGTGTTTATGAAGTGAAGAAAACTGGTTTCTCAGCTTTTTCCTTCCCTGGAGTTTGGAACCTCCTGCCAGATTTCCTATGATATCATGACAAGTCTGATGGATGCTTAGCGTTATACCATGCTTAATCTGCAGAGGAGAGAAGAACAGGGGGATTATTTACTCAGAACTGCGATGGGGGCTAATTGACTGGCGGCTCCAGTAATTGCCCTGAAACCTTTTTCTAGTATTCAGGTTCTCCATCTGCACTGTGGGTAACAGTGAAGACAAAACATGCTCTTCAGAGAACGAAAGTTGAGTGAGATAATGTCCATACATTTTCTGAAAGATGGTAAAAGAGTCTAGGTTTTGTTTCTTTACTTGGAGAATTTCCTTTTGGCTTATGCTTTTCAAAGGTAACTCAAAACAGACTGTGAAATACTTTTTATACTTTTATTAATATATTAAGCTCATGTATCCATGTTCTCAGAGTCATAAAAAATATTAAATTACCAAGTATGCAAGACAAGTCATGATTAGGCAGAAAATAACAGTCATAGAATCTGAGTTGGCAGCATCAGTAAGAAGTCACTTTTACTCCCCATGCCTTGCCTTTAGCCTGCTTTGACTTATAACTCCCTTTTTAAATATTTCCAGAAAAGGAAAACTCCACAGCTTTCTTCCAAGACTAAGTATCTCCCACTCTTGACAGGGAGTTCACTGATCTATCCAATTTTTAGACAACTAAATGCTACTTTTTCTGTCAGTCATCTAGTGAAAATGTAGAACTAATATTCACTACTCTCTGTGTATTCTATAATTACATAGATTTCTTTTAAATTTTATCAGCAATAAAAGAGGCACTCACAGCAAGACACCAGTGCACTCCCAGGTGAATGGGCACCAAAAGAATGTCAACAGAAAAGACATCCACTTTCTTGGTCCAACGTTTCACTGCTTGATAACCAGCCGTTTTTAACTTAGTGAAAAAAAAGGTATTAAATGCATGCACGCTTGGCAATCCCTTCTCTTTACTTCGCTCCATCAGCATATTCATGTAGAAATTGATGATCTGTGGGAAGAAAGTATATGTATTAAACTAGATACTCCAGCCTTTCAAAATAGTTGTGTTGTAAGAAGGAAACACAGTTGCTATATTGCACAGCATAGGTTAGTTTCCTAATCAATTCAATTATGACTTCAACACCCAACAGCCTCATGTCCCTGTATCAAATTCTGACTAGAAGGGAGGAAGGTGTTGAGGTGGTTAGAAACAGTGAAAACAGAAAAAGCTGATGTGTGTGTGTGTGTGTATACACACACACACACACACACACACACACACACACACACGTGTATATATATGGGTCCGGATACATATGGGAAGATGTTGGTCGGACTTGTAGAAGACTGAAGATCAGGTTAAAAAAACTGGAAAATGAGGAGGAAGGGGTGGTACAAAGTGAGACTCAGAGAAAACGAAAGGAAGGAGTACAAGCAGTTAAATGAGGTACACACTAGCAGTTCCTTTAATCTATCGGGACTGTGCGAGTAATTTAAATAAATCCTGAGCTCAGAGTCTAGTGTTAATAAAGCTAAGATCAGTAGTTCAATCCTTCTATGTAGGTCTCCTGATTCTGCACAAAGATAGAAAATTCTGCTCCATGACTAAGGATTGCATTTTCAGCCTAACAAGCCACCTAGCAGAAGCAAACTGTTTTGGCCTCAAGTAGAATTGAGTGACAGAATAAACCATCAACTATACTGGAAAAACATCTCTAAACTGGTAGTAGCTCAGCAATGTCACCTTTATAGAGGCAGACATGGATACAGTATAACCTACATTACATGAGACCTGAAAGTAGAATGACAAACATGAAGAGTAAAGTTCTCCCCCAGAATCTACATGGTTAGCTGCCTCATTTTTGTTGATTTCATTTATGCCTTCAATATCAAGTACAAGTGAAAGAAATTAAAATGCTTGATACAGGAGATATGTTAATGAAACTATGTGTTCTCTAACAATGACTGTGTCGTCCATGGTTCCTTTAAGTCCAGGACTCCTTGGTACCAAAGCTTGAAAGTTACCGTGCCGGAAGTTACTGCACACTTACTTTATGTGGCCAGCTGAGGTCAGGCCAGTGTCTGTCAACTGCAAGGAATGAATGGGCTAACTGATCCAAAGCTTGGAAATATGACTAAGAAAACAGGCACATTTTTCAGAATGCTTTTTGGGGAAAGGGAAAACACCACCGTCCTTTGACAAATATTTACACACTAGAATGCCAGAGCAGTGAGCTACTGCCCAATAGTAGGCAACTACATGCTGGGGAGGCAGCAGGGAACACTGCCAGGAACACACCGGAGCATGGTCTAGACCAGAGAAAGGGCCTATAGATGAGGATGCCTAAGCAGTTGCAGGGAAACCACATTCACCATGAAGCAGAGCTCTGAGGGTGGTGGGAGGGAGAGCCAGGACTGAAGAAAGACACTGTTCTTCCTGCATCTCTGAAGACAGAACAACAGGCCCAGAGGACTCAGGTTGTGGTTAATTCTCTGCTGAGTGATGCCCAACAGGTAACTGGAGCTCAGTTATTTACAATAATGACAATGAATTACACAATTAGGATCACAGATTTCTCCAATCCACGTTTTTAATCTAACACTGCCCCCGAAGATAATGGTGCTAAAGGATGCTTCTCGGCTTGTGAAGGCAGCCAGGAATGCAGGAGGATCTGCTCAGCAAGCACAGATTTCACAGCTATAATCTACGTCCTCTAGTGAGAGAAAATCAGCAGGAAGGGACTGATTCCTCTGGCATTCTATCCCACAATATTAGCCATGCTATGAGGCTAAATAAACCCTTCAATCCAGGGGGTGAAGTGAACAGGCAGACAACCTGTCAGTCACTGTAAGCCAAACCCTCCAAGGGGGCAGACAAGTTATGTATTACAACAGGCAACAAGGACTTAGGACGGAAGCAGAAGAAATCAGAGAGAGATAAGGATAGCCAAGCACATGAAAGCCACGGAGATATATCTCCCCCAGGTGCCCATCAGAGGGGTATACCACCTTTGGGATCGTTACCCTGAAGTGAAAAGGATGACATAAATGAGTGTCACGCTACACATGACTATCCTATTTTTCAGGAGGAAAGAGTGCCAGAAACCAATTAAGTTTAGCTGGACCTACGCAGACTGAGCTCTTTGGCTTCTTATTTCATTTTGTTATTTTGAGAGAGTGGACTTATAAAGCTAAAGACCAAGCCAGCTGAACAGGAACAGAGACCTAGTGATCAGGACACCACACTAAGAATCCCTCTTCCACTGCTTCAGTTCTGCCTCCAACCAAGGTTTCTCCACTGAGAGGGAAATGGCTTCCTCCAAAGTCAGCTCATTAATTAGCTCTATGGAGTGGTCTGGGTTCTTTTTCATTTCTACTGTATCTCAGTAGGAGGGAGTTTAGTGGCTTCAATGTTCCCTCCCATTAACTGAGGACATGTAATCTGACATCTGAGGCAGAATTTAGATCCGAGTTTTTCTCCTCAGTTTTTCAGCTCTTACTCTATACAAATGAGGAAAATTGCCATAGTTCAGCCAAGACACAATCATACCAAAAAAACAAGCTAGGAGTTAGGAGAACAAAAAGAATCCTACACGTCATCTCACAGAGGGCTGAAGATAAAGGAAAAAGAAATGAGAGAAGGGATCACAGTGCTTCAGATGAAAGAGGAGCAGTGATGGTCAGAGCGTTTGCTTGTATTTTGTGAAGACAAGGGTCCCTCCCCTTCCATGGTGAGAGCCTTTCTGCACTCAGGACTCTCTTAGCTTCAGAAGATCTTCAATTCCCTTTGGAATAGGGGGCTAGGAGTAATAAGTCAGCCCTGTGCCTACTGTTTGTCTTGCACTTGTCCCTCTTTTGGGGGCCCACACTTGCCTCTGCTTGCTGCAGCTCCTGGTGCCTGAAGAGTTGCCCTTCCTGCTGCCTTCGCAGCTTTGGCCATGAGTGCCTACTTGTCTATGCAGCCCTGCCTGGGGGTGGAATGGTTGTTTATAGTGTCTTATTCCTTTGTGATTTTATTTGAAGAGCTGCCAGGTTGAAGCTGAAAAAAGCTTCTCTTTAAAAGAAAAGCCTACCATGTTTTCAAACTAAGGACTCAATCCTTTTCCTGTATGCTACCACAATGACATAAATGACTGTTATTTGTATCCTCCTTCTCATGCAGTAAACCAGCCAAACTATTGTTTTTTCATGCATATAGAAGTAAAACATTTCACAATACAATCCTGACTTTAACCCTTTCCAATTTCACACTTTGAACCCTTATAATTGACTTAGGAAATAAATGTTCTAAAAGTCCTGAGCATGACAGTGTTCCTAAGCAGAGACCCAGATAACTTTCAGGGGGGAAAAAAGCTGTTTTCCTATTTTACCCCTCCAGATTTTCCCCTCTACATACTCATTCTGAATTTTTTTTTTTAAAGATTTAATTGTATTTATTTTTGGCTGTGTTGGGTTTTCGTTGCTGTGCACAGGCTTTCTCTAGTTGTGGCGAGTGGGGGCTACTCTTCCTTGTGGTGCGTGGGCTACTTGCGGTGGCTTCTCTTGTTGTGGAGCACAGGCTCTAGGTGCGCGGGCTTCAGTTGTTGCAGCACGCGGGCTCAGTAGTTGTGGCACGCAGGCCCTAGAGCTCAGGCTCAGTAGTTGTGGCACACGGGCTTAGTTGCTCTGGGGCATGTGGGATCTTCCTGGACCAGGGCTCGAACCCGTGTCCCCTGCATTGGCAGGCAGATTCTTAGCCACTGCGCCACTGGGGAAGTCTCCCTCATTCTGATTTTTAAATTAGGCTTATCCTTGTCAACCAGAAAACCCGAAAGACTAACCAAGCAACAACCCCTGAATATTATGAGTCAGAAGGTCCCTCACTCCTAAAAAGATCTAATCTAATAATATTATAGAAACCAAGAAGGCAGACTTCAGGTAAGCTCTATGTTACTGCATCCTTCACTGTGTCCAGGATTTTTCTCACATGCAAATTCAAGTAATAAATTATTAGAATTACTGCCAAGGTTTTAGAGAAAGAGAGGCAGGCAACATCTATTTTTATGGAGTCATGACAACTGTAATTATGCTCCCTGTGACCTCACATAAATCCCTGGTTTATCAATAGGACTAGTTCTACTAAGAAACACTTTAAAGAGGTAAACTATAATGACGTGGAATCTTCCCATGAGTCATGTTAGAAACACTATAACTTCCATTCTGGTCATTTTATTCCACATGTTAGAGTGCATACCATATCGTAGACCCCATCATATTCACTTAACTAATTTATCTCATTTTGTCTGATTTTTTTCCCTTCTTACGCAGTTTTTATTTCCTAAGGAAAACTTACTCCCTGTGCTAGGTTTGTCTAGTTGGGCTTAATGTTTGGCAAGATGTTTCCTCTCTTACCAAGCATCACTTAGATTTAACTTCTCCTTGGAAACAGTTAATTATTGAGAGAGAGGTATTGAAATCTTCAACAGTAATTATAAATTTGTCTATTTCCCCTTCCAATTTTCTCAGTTTTTACTTCATCTATTTTGAAGTTCTGTTAGGTGTGTACGTATCTAGGTTGTTAATCCTCTTGATGAACTTACCCGTTTACCATTATGAAAAGTCTATCACTGGTAATATGACTTGCTCTGAAATCTACTTGGTGTGATATTAATATAGTTACTTCATCTTTCCTTTGTTTAGTGTTGGCACGGTATATTTTTTCCATCCTTTTACTTTTAACCTATATGTGTCTTCATATTTAAAACAGGTTTCCTGTAGACAGATTTTTTAACCTAATCTGACAATCTCTGCCTTTTAACAGGATGTTTATACTGTCCAATACGGTAGCTACTAGCCAAATGTGACTCTTGAGCACTTGAAATATGACTAATGCAAGTTGTGTTGTAAGTGTAAAATACACACATTTTAAATAGAAGGTAAAATACTCATTAACAATATTTTCAGATTTCTTACATGCCAAAATAACATATTTTGGATATATTGGGTTAAATAAAATGTATTATAAAATTA